TGGCCTTGGATTGCTCCCAGAGGCTATTGGGGGGTCGCCTGTACCGTACTAGTCGCCTTGGCCGTACCAGCAGGGGATCGCCCGGCCTCTGTGACGCCCCGCCCTCCCGGGGGTGGAGGCAGGGTGGGCGGAGAGCCCAAGGCGTGGGGACCTGGTCCCCGTGGCTGGAGGGGCTGCGGCAAGATAGCGCGCCGCGCGGTCCCGGGTCCCAGGACCCCGATGGAGGGAACCTCTCTTCCCAGCCGAATCTTCAGCCCTGGGCCCGCCTCCTGGTCTCAGCTTGGACGAACCGTCCAGAGACTTGACTCCCTTCCCTGGGAACCTGGGGCGTCACGACCCGGGAGCCTCCTCAAGGCAAGGGACGCCTCTGCCTCCAACTACTGGGAGGTCAGTGGCGGGAACCCTTCCAGCATGGCGTGTCTGCGCCTGGCTCCCCGCCCAGGCTGTTCTGCGGCAGAGCCTCCCCTCGGCACCCCCATCCCTCCTACTGACCTCACTCTTGGGAGGAGGCTAAGCCCCAGTCAGCCTGTCCTCTGGGTCCAGGCCTGAGCGTCGAAGCCCCCGCAGGTCGGGCCTGGGAAGGAGAGACCTGGGCGCTTACTCAGTAATTACGGTCTGTCATTGTTATGGTTACTTAGAGGTCCGAGGGGCAAGAGTTGGATTATGTGGAAAGGAAGGTGCTGTCTGAAGGTCGAGGGGTGCCTGGCACCTGGAAAGTGGGGGGGGGGAATGAAAAGTAGTGGGAGGAAGGCCCCAGACCTGCGGCCCACGCACAGAGAGGGGGTGGAGGGGCAGCGCAGCCTTCCTTTCTCCTCTGGGCCAGGCATGTCCTGGACCTCTGGCAGCTCCGATCTTCTTTTTTCCCCATTTCTCATTCCTCAGCTAATTTTTTAAAATTAAACTTTCATTTTGAGATAATTGTAGATTCATCTGCAGCTGTAAGAAATAGCACAGATCCCAAGTACCCTTTGCCAGTTTCCCCGAAGGGAAACACCTTGCAGAACTGTCCTACAAGGTCACACCGGCAGAGTGACCCTGGCACAGCCGAGACGCTGGCGACTCCTTCCCCAGAGGGACTTCCCCACTCCGCCTTTTACGGCCCACGAGACCCCACCCACCAGGCCCCGCCCCGTAGCCCCGCCCCGACGCCGGTTTTGGGACACCCTCTTCCAGGCCGCCTCGACTCCGCTTCTGCGGCGGCTCCCACCCCAGCCGCAGCCGGATCAGAGCAGTCGCGGGCCAGTCTGGCCCGCGAGACACCCTCGAGGCCGGGGAGAGGAGCCGCCGTCGTGTATGCGGGGCTGGGGGCCCCTGCGCTGGTCTGCGCACCGCCGG